CCATCACCCTCACCATCACACTCACCATCACTCTCACCATCACTCTCACCATCACCCTCACCATCACTCTCACCATCACCATCACTCTCACCATCACCCTCACCCTCACCATCACCATCACTCTCACCATCACCCTCACTCTCACCATCACCCTCACCATCACCCTCACCATCACCCTCACCATCACTCTCACCATCACTCTCACCATCACCCTCACCATCACCCTCACTCTCACCATCACTCTCACCCTCACCATTACTCTCACCATCACTCTCACCATCACCATCACTCTCACCATCACTCTCACCATCACCCTCACTCTCACCATCACTCTCACCCTCACCATTACTCTCACCATCACCCTCACCATCACGCTCACTCTCACCATCACTCTCACCATCACCCTCACCATCACCCTCACCCCTCACTCTCACCATCACCCTCACCATCACTCTCACTCTCACCATCACCCTCACCATCACTCTCACTCTCACCATGACTCTCACCATCACCATCACTCTCACCATCACCATCACCCCTCACTCTCACCATCACCCCTCATTCTCACCATCACTCTCACCCTCACCATGACTCTCACCATCACCATCACTCTCACCATCACCCTCACCATCACCCCTCACTCTCACCATCACCCTCACCCTCACCATGACTCTCACCATCACCCTCACCCTCACCATCACTCTCACCATCACCCCTCACTCTCACCATCACTCTCACCATCACACTCACCATCACCATCACTCTCACCCTCACCATCACTCTCACCCTCACCATCACCCTCACCCTCACCATGACTCTCACCATCACCCTCACCATCACCATAACCCTCACTCTCACCATCACTCTCACCCTCACTCTCACCATCACCCTCACCATAACCCTCACTCTCACCATCACTCTCACCCTCACCATTACTCTCACCATCACTCTCACCATCACCCTCACTCTCACCATCACTCTCACCATCACCCTCACCATCACCCCTCACTCTCACCATCACTCTCACCATCACTCTCACCATCACCATCACCTTCACCATCACCCTCACCATCACCCTCACCATCACTCTCACCCTCACCATCACTCTCACCATCACCCTCACCATCACCCTCACTCTCACTCTCACCTCACCCTCACCATCACCATCACCCTCACCATCACTCTCACCCTCACTCTCACCCTCACCATCACCCTCACCATCACCCTCACCATTACCCTCACCATCACCATCACCCTCACTCTCACCATCACTCTCACCATCACCATCACCCTCACCCTCACTCTCACAATCACCCTCACCATCACCATCACCCTCACCATCACTCTCACCCTCACCCTCACCATCACCCTCACCATCACCCTCACTCTCACCATCACCCTCACCATCACCCTCACCATCACCCTCACCATCACTCTCACCCTCACTCTCACCCTCACCATCACCCTCACCATCACCCTCACCATCACCATCACCCTCACTCTCACCATCACTCTCACCATCACCCTCACCATCACCCTCACCATCACCCTCACTCTCACTCTCACCATCACCATCACCCTCACCATCACTCTCACCCTCACTCTCACCCTCACCATCACCCTCACCATCACCCTCACCATCACTCTCACCCTCACCATCGCCATCACTCTCACCCTCACTCTCACCCCTCACCCTCACCCCTCACATCTCACTCTCACCCTCACTCTCACCATCACTCTCACCCTCACCCTACCCAAACGAAATGAACACGTAGGATTTCGCGACCAATATATGATTGATAATAAAAGGTTTTGGGTTCGAGCGCGTAAATATAAATGTGTCGTTAACCCTCCACCACCCGAATGCCAGTCAGGTTTGTCACGTGTACAAAATGTGCCAATTAGAGACTACTCAGCACATCGGTATGATGGAAGAAAACTCACATTTCTTTTGAACTGATTTTTGTGTTTAGTGTTGTCCTTGTGCACACCTCCGATTTGCACGGTTGGCGACGTACGGTGCGAAAGAAGGTCAACATGCATACATTTACCATTTGAGTCCGACGTTTCCCTACCGCAACGCTATCCCTAACCCTCACTCAAACTCGACCCCTAACTATACCCCTACTCCCTTGACCATCTCACCCCTCAGTGTAAGGCAGGGAAAGGTCCTGGCAAGGAATCCTGATCATCGCCCTGCCAAGCACGCTGAGGAGAGGCTTGCAGAGTCCCGATCTGGTTTCAGCCCGAGGCTGTCCTGCACATATGACATTTTCTCTATCTGTCTGCTACAGCAGTGGTGTAAGGAATTTCAACAGGACCCACATCTCTGCTTTATTGACCTGGTCAAGGCCTGTGACACCATCAGTAGGCCTGGCTCCCTCCTTTCGGTGCAAACGAAGTTCAACACACATCATCAAGGGCCTTTATGATGGTGGTCAGACCCAGGAGTTGCGGGGGCAGTTAAGGAAGCAGTGGGCAAGTTTCCATAGCTGGGCAGAGTGATTATGACCAGTTCTGGTATGGGGCCGTCCATAAATGACGTCACGCGATTTTGGGTCGATTTTGGACCCCCCTTCATCACACGTCACAAAACGTCAGACCCCCCCCCCCTCAAATATGGCGTCACAAAGCTCTCCCCCCACCCCCCCCCAAAAAAAAACAAGCTTCAAATCGTTTCGATTTAAAGCTTTCGTGACTGCAGGGATGATTATATTTTATTTCCAGATGCTTCAAATCGCTTTAAACTATTGTCATTGTAGTGCGTATTTAATGTGGCGCTGCACTCTGATGTTGTAGGAGAAAACATTTACTAAAAAGTCTATTTAATTCAGTAGAACGTGTTGTCTATATTTATTTTTAAAGTTGCGCATTTTGACGTGACGTCACATTTCTCAAACCACCCTCCTCGTCACAAATGTCTGACCCCTCCCCCCCCCTAGGTGCGTCACGTCATTTATGGACGGCCCCTATGGCAGCGGAGGTCTCGCTCCAAATCAGTCGTGCGATCGATACATTCTCTTTGGTTCTATTGGGTAAAGTCACGTAGGTAAAAAAAAATACGTGACTTTACCCAATAGAACCAACGAGTATGGATCCTAGCAGTCATGAAAGCTTTAAATCTAGAATCGATCGATACATTGTTCATCAGCAGCATAACGCTGTGTGGCCTGACGCCCCACACGAAGCTCCTGGTCTTCTCGGCCACAGTTTATACCCTCGATTTTCTATACTTGCGAAACGCCGATTTGAAACATTCAGGCTAGCCTGCCTACAGTCTACCCTGGGTTTAACCAGACATGGCTGGGTCATGTCGTCCTCCGTATGCCCTAGCAGCTTCTGTTTGCCCGGACAGAGATGGCGAAATGGGCGCGGCACGGACTGGAGACGAGATGGACAGATATGGGGCGGAGTGTCTGGAGCTGAGTGGACTTGCCGATGACTGGAACCGGCGGTGTCAAGATCGGCCTCTGTGGAGGAGGCTCGTGAAGGACGCTGCTGCTGCTGCTACTGGGCAGTTGGAGGCAGTCGCCCTCCACCAACTGCGAAGAGCAGAGGAGCGACGCTCACAACAACGAGCGGAGCGCCGGGTGGCTAAAAGGCAGCAAGTTAGCACGGTGGAGAGAACAGGTGGTGATTCTGCCAGTCACCCATGGGCCCCTGGCAATGTCCCCTGACCTCACGTGACCTCAAGGTGCACATAGCCTGGCACAAGCGCCGTGGGCACGACGTCGCCGGCACTGAGTGGCGAACGGCGGCTGCTGCTGTTGTTGTTTAGTTCGGGATGGGTGGCCTCCGCTCTGCACCCAGTGAGTGTTGTGGGAGCGGTGGCGCAGTGGTTAGCGGACTTCACGCTATGAACCCCGGCGACCCGGGTTCGATTCCCGCGTATGATCAACACCGGTGGACGAATACCTGAAACGGTCGTGGGCCACCCCTAGGTCGACTCGGCGTCAAATGAGCACCTGGCTCGGTGCGTAAACATCGCCACTCGGTGCTGACCACCCACCCCTCGTGTGCCTTACCACGCAACTCCGTAGTACAGTACTTGTTGTGTCGGCTATGCGGGAGAGATCTTTGTCGGGGCACGCTCCGAAAGGAAACTCAGGAGCGTTGATAAATACGAGGGGATGGGGGGCAGGGGAGGACAAAGGGAGAGGGGGAGGTAGAGTGGGGAGGGTCCCCCCACCCCCTCCCCGCATCTCCCATCATACCTCGGGCCTATGCGGTGACGACCAAACCCTCGAGCGCACGGACACACGCACGTGCCGAGAACATCACCACAACACCACCACCACCGTCGTTACCATCATCACCCCGTAAAACCATCGTCATCAATATAGGATCACCATAACATGAACCCCTTCGGCAGCGCCCAGCATTAGATGACGTCGCGGTCCACTGGGCCGCTATCTGCACAAAAGCTGCAGGGGAGAGAGAGACAGGGAGAGAGAGGGGAGAGAGAGAGGGGAGAGAGGGACAGGGAGGGAGTGTGGAGAGAGAGGGGAGAGAGAGAGAGAGGGGGGAGAGGGACAGGGAGGGAGTGTGGAGAGAGAGGGGAGAGAGAGAGAGAGGGGGGAGAGGGACAGGGAGGGAGTGTGGAGAGAGAGAGGGGAGAGAGAGGGGAGAGAGGGACAGGGAGGGAGTGTGGAGAGAGAGGGGAGAGAGGGACAGGGAGGGAGTGTGGAGAGAGAGGGGAGAGAGAGAGGGGAGAGAGGGACAGGGAGGGAGTGTGGAGAGAGAGGGGAGAGAGGGACAGGGAGGGAGTGTGGAGAGAGAGAGAGGGGAGAGAGAGACAGGGAGAGAGGAGAGAGAGAGGGGAGTGGGGGACAGGGAGGGAGTGTGGAGAGAGAGGGGAGAGAGGGACAGGGAGGGAGTGTGGAGAGAGAGGGGAGAGAGGGACAGGGAGGGAGTGTGGAGAGAGAGGGGAGAGAGGGACAGGGAGGGAGTGTGGAGAGAGAGAGGGGGGAGAGAGAGAGGGGAGAGAGAGAGAGGGGAGAGAGAGAGAGGGGAGAGGGGGGACAGGGAGGGAGAGGCTGAAGAGGGGAGAAAAGACGACGGGAAGAGGGAGCCGCGGAACCGACTGGACTCTACGGGACACTGGTGTGTGCGCCCCCTCGCTGACGTGAGTGAACACACACACCAACACACACACACATCAACACACCAACACACAGACTCACACACACCAACACACACACACCAACACACACACTCACACACACCAACACACACACACCAACACACACACACACACACCAACACACACACCAACACACACACACCAACACACACACCAACACACACACACACCCCAACACACACACATCAACACACACACATCAACACACACACACACCAACACACACACACACCTCACACACACACCAACACACTCACACACACATCAACACACACACCAACACACACACACCAACACACACACATCAACACACACACCAACACACATCAACACACACACACCAACACACACCCACCAACACACACACATCAACACACACACACACCAACACACACACTCACACACACACCAACACACACACACCCCAACACACACACATCAACACACACACATCAACACACACACACACCAACACACACATCAACACACACACACCAACACACACACTCACACACACACCAACACACACACCCCAACACACACACATCAACACACACACATCAACACACACAACAACAACAACAACAACCGCCATTCGCCACTAAGTGACGGTGACGTCACCACGACGCTTGTGCCAGGCCATGTGCACCTTGAGGCCACGTGAAGTGTCGAACGCCTGCTGGCAGGAGGTCACGGGGCAGACCCAGGTGCCACGGGTCGACTGATTGAGATGACTGGCTGGTGCACCTACTGTGCCAACCTGCTGTGCTTTAGCCACCCGGCGCTCCGCTCGTTGTTGTGAGCGTCGCTCCTCCGCCCTCCGTTGTTGTTGGAGGGCGACTGCCTCCAACTGCCCAATAGCGTCCTTCACGAGCCTCCTCCACAGAGGCCGATCTTGACACCGCTGGTACCAGTCATCGGCAAGTCCACTCAGCTCCACGTCCTCCTGTACCACGTCACTCCATCTCTTCTCTAGCCCGTGCCGCGCCCGTTTAGCCCCCTCGATCCGGCCGATCAAAAGCTGTTTCGGCATGCGGTGGCTGGGCATGCGGGCTACATGACCCAGCCAACGCAGCCTTGCCCGCCGGAGGAGCTCACCCATGGGACTTTGCCCAGATCTTTCAAGGATTTGTGAGCTCACACAATCCAGCCTGGTTAACCCCAGGATGGATCGTAGGCAGGCCAGCCTAAATGTTTCCAACCGGCGAAGATGCTCCATTAGGGGGGTCCACGTTTCGCAAGCGTAGAGAAGGGAGGGAATGACCGTGGCCGAGAAGACCTGACGCTTAGTGCGGAGCGACAGACCAGGTAGCTTCCACACAGCGTTACGCAACCGATGAAAATATATTGTCGCTCGACTGATTCGGAGTGAGACCTCTGCTGTCAAACCAGAGCCGTTCGTGAGCTCACTGCCCAGGTATGGGAAACTCTCCACTCTCTCCACAACTGCTCCATCACCGATTGGGAGTTGTGGGGGTGGAGTGTCCGATGATACAAAATACCCAGGCAGGTGCTTAGTTTTGGTGGGGCTGATGGTAAGGCCCCATCTCTTAGTGGCACGCTCCAGTCTCAGCAGCAGCGTCTCCAACTCCGCCTCTGAATGAGCAGCTATTACCAAATCATCGGCATACATAACGTGGTTGAGCAATAGGGAGCCATCCCTTGACCGCACCCGGACATCGATCAGCCTTCCCATTGTATCTGTACTAGATGGAAATTCCTCCGGTACAGCTACTGAAGGCTTCACGATCTATGTGGTTGAGATAGATGTTAAATAATGTTTGAGCCAGAGGACATCCCTGCCGCACCCAAGGTGTACAGGCAATGGCTCTGACTACCAGGCACGTAGTTTTACCCGGGCCTGCTCACCATCATGAAGGTCCTTAATGAGCGTGAACAGAGGGTCGGGGACTCCGAGAGCACGAACAACAACCAAGAGCCCAGACCTACTGATGGTATCATAGGCCTTGATCAGGTCAATGATGCAGAGATGTAGGTCTTGTTGGAATTCCCTACACCACTGCTGTAGCAGACGGACAGAAAATATGGCATCTGTGCAGGACCGCCCTTTCCTGAAACCGCATTGGGGCTCCGCAAGCCTCTCCTCAGCGTGCCTAGCAAGGCGATGTTGAATAATCCTTGCCAGGATCTTTCCCGGCACACTGAGGAGTGAGATACCCCTGTAGTTGTTACAGTCTGTGCGGTCCCCCTTCTTAAAGAGGGGGACCACCAGGGCATCCTTCAAATCCTGCGGAACCCGTCCAGTGGTCCAGACTGTTGTTATGATGTCATGTAGGGCAGTTTGTGCACAACCGCCACCCTCCCTCAGCATTTCGCTTGGGAGATCATCTCTGCCTGGTGCCTTTCCTGGTCTCAGACTCTGCATCGCCCTCAGTACTTCCTCAACAAATGGCACCTCAGCCAGCCACTCACAGGGGGTGACTTCTTCCAATAGTTGAGGCACCGCAGCCTCGGCAGGGTCATCCCCACTTTGTCCCACGTTGTTTTCCTGGGTGACGGATTTCCCTTCCCACAGGACCTCACAGAAATGCTCAGCAAATCTGCAAACCTGTTCCTGGGGGTCGGAGATTGGATCACCGTTCTTTCCCCTAATGATGGTAATAGGTGTGGCGCTGCACGTTACTTTTTTGATGGAATTGAAGAGCAATTTGTGATCGCGGGCCACTGGGGCAGACTCCATCTCCTCAGCAACCCGCAACCACCACCCATCCTTGCAGTGCCTCACGGCTCTCCGAACCTCCGAGCGAAGGCTGCGGTAGGCCTCCTCATTCTCTGACGTGGGATTCTGTAGCCGATGACAGTGGGCTGCAGGTTATTTTTATGGAGTTAATGGGCGATTGGGGTTGGCATCGTTCCCCACTCCTCCTGATGTCGAGGGTAAATGGGCGAGGTTTAGGACTGTGACTCATGCAGCTGCAATGGCTGCTTTGGGTATGCGGTCCAGACCTCCCCAGAGACCCTGGCTGACAGAGGAGGTGTTCAAGCTGGCTGAGAAAAAGCAGCAGGCCCACTCTCATCGGCTCCAGCATCCCACGTCAGAGAATGAGGAGGTTTGGAGAGCTGTGAGGCGCTGCAACACACCAACACTAACAAAAACAAAGATCCACCGTATTGCCTGAACAGATTGTCGGGGCAAGTTCTGTTAGCAAGCAGCACCTATGAAGGCCAGCACGACACATGGGGGAGTGGGTGGCCAGCACCACTGCCCGGCCGCCTTTGTCTCCCCAGTGGCGATGTTTACACACTGCACCAGATACTCATTTGAGGCTGAGTCGACCTAGGGGAGGCTCAGGACCGGTTCAGATAATTGTCACTTGTGTTGGCCGTGAGCGGGAATCGAACCCAGGTGGCCAGATTTGTAGCGCAGAGCTATAACCGCTACACCACCGCTCCCCACAACATACACAGTAACACACACACTAAACACACCAACATGCACACCAACACACACCAATACACCAAAACATACACTAACACAAATGCAAAGATACCCCGTATAACCTTAACTGACTGTGGGGGCAAGTGCTGGTAGCGAGCACCTATGAAGGCCGGAACGGTACACGAGGGGGTGGGTGGCCAGCACCACGCCCGACCGTCTTTGTCTCCCTAGTGGCGATGTTTACACACTGCACCATGTGCTCATTTGAGGCTAAGTCGACCTAGGGGAGGCCCAGGACTGGTTCAGATAATCGTCACTGGGTGTTGGCCGTGAGCGGGTTCAAAGCGCAGCACGCTAATCGCTACACTACCGCTCCCCACACAGTAACACACACACACCAACACACTAACACATACACACCAACACATACACACTAACACACACACCAACACAACAACAACAACCGCCATTCGCCACTAAGTGGTGGTGACTGACACCACGACGCTTGTGCCAGGCTATGTGCACGTTGAAGTCACGTGAAGTTAGGGATGGAAAAAAACACATTTTTTCAGATCCGAATTTGAGGGTTAAGGTTCAAACCTTAATAAACCAAATAAACCTCGTGGTTTTATTCGCAATACTTCCAGATCAGTACTTGTCCTCCTCCGACGAGTTCCTGTCGTAGCTTTCGGACATATAACTGTATTCGGCGAATGCCGCAAGTTGCTCTTAAGGTAGTCTAGCTTCTCCACCGAACTGGGCGCCAAGCTGTTCTTGAGCTCGCTGTGTATGAAACCCATAGTTGAGAAGTTGCGCTCCGAGGCTACAGTGGATGTCGCCATCGTGAACAGCTTGAAGCCGATCTTCTGAAGATTGGGCCAGGCCACGCCGTCACTGCCAATACTGCAAAGGTGTTTTACATCCCTTGAGCAGCATAATGAATCTAAATCCACCGGCATCCTTCTGCTGCGCTGAAATGACGTACTCGGTGAGCTGCATAAAGAGCGCCTCTTGTCATCAACTGCCATCTCATCGTCGATCGGTGTCTCCAGTAAGATGTTATCCAGCTCTTTTCGATTAGGCGGGCTAAAGCCCTCTCCAATGAAGCGAGGATCTAACAGATACGCCAGTCCATCGACCTTTCCGTACATGAACTGAAAGCGACTTGCTGCCACCTTGATCAGGTAGTTGATATCTTCAGTGTTCACATGACTGTCTTCGTGCAGCTTGGCAAACTCAGCATGGAGGGCGTGAAAATCCGGCAAGACTTCAGAGACTGGTACGGAATCGGATTTATATTTTACAATCAATGCGTCGATGGGCGTGAGAATGGAAAGGGACTTCTGCAACAGAGAGACGAAGTCGTCACTCGTAATGATGGTCTTGATTTGCATTCGCTCGGATTCCTGAGCTGCCATCCCCTTGATGAAGCTGCGAGCTGTGACAATAGAATGCAGAATCCTCTCCGACAACAACAGCGTCTCGCAACAGCCTTTGATCATTCCCAAACGTGTAAGAGCTGGCCGGACCAACGCTCAAACGCCAGCGATCTTCTGTTCAGCCTGCAGCTGTGCCTTAAGAA